TCACTTCTCTCTCCCTCTTATCTATTTCCCTTCCTTCTCTCCCTCCCTCCCCTTCCTTCCTTCTTTGCCTCCCTCTCCCCTTCCTTTCTTCCTTCCTTCCTCTCTCTCCCCTCCTTCTTTCCTTCCTTCTTTCCTTTCTCCCTCCCTCCCTTCCTACAGCACACAGACTTATATACCGCTTCACAGGGCTTTTACAACCCTCTCTAAGCAGTTTGCAGAGTCAGCCTCTTTCCCCCAACAATCGGGGTCCACGTTTTACCGACCTCGGAAGGACGGAAGGCTTAAATCGACCTTGAGCCTGGTGAGACCCGAACTGCCAAACTGCTGGCAAATTGTTAAAATTGTTATCAAATGTTCCAAGACAAAGATTTCAAGGTAAGTCTTGGGGGGGGGGGGGGGAGATTTTTTGGCCTTGGGTACAGTGTAAATTTAATCATCTTATAAAGTGAAAGGTTGATTTGTTTAAAAACCTGTTTCTCAGGTTCTCTGCATTCTAACGAGGCCGATTCTGGAAATAAAATCACTAAATCACTAAAAAAGGGTATTGGTTGTCCTCGACTTACGGCCACCATTGAGCCGTAAAACTTCTGCTGCTAAGCGAGACAGTTGTTAAATGCCTGCTGCCCCGTTTTACGACTTTTCTTGCCACCGTTGTTAAGGGAACCGCTGCAGTCGCTGATTCAGCAACACGGCTGTTAAATAAATCTGGCTTTCCCAATTGCCCCTTTTTATGAGCTTTCTTGCCCCGTTTTACGACTTTTCTATGACTTTTCTTGCTACAGTTGTTAAGTGAATCGCTGCAGTCGTTAAGTGAGTAACAGGGTTACCCCCCTGGATTTGGCTGGTCAAAAGGTTGCAAAAGGGGGATCCCGTGACCCCTGAATACTACAAACCATCATAAGTACGAGTCAAGCTTCTGAATTTTGATTACCGGACACTGGGGTTGTTGCAACGGTCTTCAGAGCGAATAACGGTCCTGAGTCACTTTTTTTCAGAGATGCTGTATGTAATTTCAAATGATCACTAAATGAACTGTTGTAAGTTGAGGAGTAACTGTAATCAGTCTCTCTCCAGGTCATGTCTACGTTTTAGATCCGTGATGGCGAACCAATGGCACACATGCCATAGGTGGCACGCAGAGAGCCATTTGTGCCAGCATCCGAGCCGAAGGCAAACTTACCACACTGCACATGCCTCACAGCTGATTTTCCGCCTGTTTGAGGACTTTTTTGGCCTCCCAGAGGCTTGAGGAAAGCCTTTGCAGGTCAAAAATAGGCCCGTTTCATACACTTCCTGTATTTTAGGAAATAACGGAAGTGACGAAACGGGCCTATTTTTTCGGCCTGCAAAGCCTGCAGAAGCCTTCCTCAAACCTTTGGGAGTCTTAAAAAGGCCTCAAACCTGCCAAAAATCAGCTGGGAAGTGCAGTGAGGTAAGAGGGAAGCGGCGGGGGTGGGATTGCGTGCGCATGTGCAGGGGGCGTGGGGGCGCCGAGTGCACGCACACAAGCGCAAACGCAATTTTTAGCACAGGAACCCAAAAAGATTAGCCACCACTGTTTTAGGTATTTTGATCCAAATGCTTTCTTGGAAAAATCACACTGGCAACTTGTATTATACTTCCATGGTACAGGATGATGGGAAACGGGTGCGACGGCTTCCCCCTGGCGTTTATGGGCAAGCAAAGCAAAAGCAAAATAGATAAATATATTTTAAAAAATGTTCTTACTTGAATCGGGATTTGACCTCCTCCACAGCTTTCTCATATTGTTCTGTGGTGACTTTGTAGAATTGGGAGCTCTGTGTGGAAAAAGAGGGAAGAAATTCATTATAAACGCCCCCGAAAAGCACATGAGAAATGGTGATAATATTTATAGAGCGGATATAGAGAATTTCATGCAGTTCTCGAAGAGATATTTGTGCGTACCAACGCTTATACATTCAAGCACAGCCACACACAGCGTCACACAAAGTACTCTTTTTTAATTGGTTTTATATTTATTAGATTTTTTTAAAAATCCAAACTTAACTAACTTTATAACTCAATGTAGCAAACATTCCTAATATACCTCCTATTTTCTCCATCACAATCTTGTCAGTGGATTGGGCTGAGACAGAGGGATTGGCCCAAAGTCACCCAGCTGGCTTTTATGCCTAAGGCAGGACTAGAACTCACTGTCTCCTGGTGATTGGCCCAAAGTCATCCAGCCTGCTTTCATGTCTAAGGCAGGACTAGAACTCATTGTCTCCTGGTGATT